GTGCCACCGCCTGCCTCAAAAGCACAAGGTCCTGAGTTTGATCCCCAGTACCAAAAAATAAATAAATGAAATAAAAATTAAAAAATAAAAAAAGAAGAACAGGACAAACCCAAAGCTCATACAAGGGAGGAAATTATAAAGATCAGAACAGCAATCAATGCAATGGAGCCTAAAAGAATGATATAAAAAAACAATGAATCTCCTGAGACCACGTTGGAGATGGGTTTTTCTCTTGGCATTATGCCCAGGCCATGTGTTAGTACCCATACCACCATTTTATCTTCGCAGCACTATGTTAGCAATAAAATCTTGAGTTCTCAAAACAAAAAAATCAATGAAACAAAGAGTTGATTCTTCAAAAGAATAAACAAAATTGACAAACCCTTAGCCAACCTTATCAAAAAAAAGTAAAGAAAAGGCCCAAATCCATGCAATTAAGAATGAAAAGGGTGAAATTGCAATGGACCCAGCAGAAATCCAGAGGATCGTCAATACCTACTTTGAGAAGCTATACACCAATAAGATGGAAAACAAAGAAGAAATGGACAGATTCCTAGATACGTATGAATTACCAAAGGTGAATGAAGAAGACCTAAAAATTCTAAACAACCCAATATCCATCAATGAAATTGAAAATGTAATTAAAAACTTATCAACTAAGAAAAGCCTGGGTCCCAGAGCTTCACTGCTGAATTCTACAAGACATTTAGAGAGGAATTATTCCCACTACTGTTTAAACTCTTCAATGAAATTGAAAGGGAAGCAATACTTCTGAATTCATTCCTGGAAGCAAGCATCACCTTGATCCCCAAAGCAGAGAAAGACCCAACCGAAAAAGAGAAATATAGGCCAATCTCACTAATGAACACAGGTGCAAAAATCCTTAATAAGATACCAGCAAATAGAATGCAGAAGATCATGAAGAAGATCATATACCCTGACCAAGTGGGATTTATGCCAGGGATGCAGGAATGGTTCAACATATGCAAATCAATCAGTGTAATGCACTATATCAATAGAGCCAAGAACAAAAACCATACGATCATCTCAATAGATGCAGAAAAAGCATTTGACAAAATCCAACATGCATTCGTGATAAAAACCTTACAAAAAATTGGAATAGATGGTCTCTACCTCAATCTGATAAAAGCCACCTATGAAAAACCAACAGCCAATATCATACTAAATGATTGAAACCTGAAATCCTTCACACTAAAATCAGGAACAAAACAAGGATGTCCACTATCAACACTCCTGTTGGAATGGAAACAACCACAGCAATTAGGCGAGAGAAAGAAAAGGAATAAGGTTAGGAAATGAAGAAGTCAATTTGTCATTATTTGCACATGACATGATACTCTATTTAGAAGACCCCGAGAATGCCACCAAAACTCTTCTAGACTTAATATCCAAGTTCAGTAAAGTAGCTGGATACAAGGTCAACACACAAAAATCAACAGCTTTCCTCTACAGGAACAACAGACTCACTGAGAGAGAAATGGGGCAAATAATTCCTTTCACAGTAGCATCCAAGAAATTGAAATACTTGGGAATCAACCTAATAAAAGAAAGCAAAGACCTCTACTCTGAAAACTACAGCACTCTTTAAAAAGAGATCAAAGATGATATCAGAAAATGGAAAGACATCCCTTGCTCCTGGGTAGGAAGAACCAACATAGTGAAAATGGCCATACTTCCAAAACTGCTATATAGATTCAATGCAAT